AAAGGCAATGGAGAATTATTGATGGTTTTAAAGTAGGGTAATGATATGTATAACTGGTATTCTACAGATGGAAGTTTAGCTGGCAGTGGAGGGTTAAGCGAATAAGGGAAGCTGGAATGAGGAGAAGTTAAAGCTTTACAGAGGAAACAGAATGGAAAAGGTTGGGCATATGGACTGGCAGCCAACTGTGTGTGCACGCATGTATATGTGTGTGTATATGTATGAGAGAGAGAGATCAAGAGTTGGAGTTATGGGTTGTATAAACTCTCGAGAAAACTCAGAAAGAACAGAGAAGCAAGGGGGGAAGAGTTTAAAGTGGTTATAAGCACAGTGTTGAACTGCTGACTGTGGTTAGCTGGCAAGAGAAATTAATTGGGGATGAGGAAGGGATTGAAAGAAAAGAGAACATTTCAAGAGTCTAAGGGCAGTTTCAGTACAAAGAGGCATTTAGGAGAGGTGGTAGATTAAAAAAGAGAGTATTTGACCTTCAGTGATAAGGAGCAGACGCTGCTGCTGTTACTTGATAAATATCCCACTCCACAAATGGACATGATTGCCTCCTGATGCTTTTTATCACTCTTAGAAACGTCAGTCTCATGGTGCTAACACCTTACACAATTGCTGCATTCCAGAAAAACTATATATGTAAATTAAAATTTTATAACTTAGATTTAACTTTTGTTAAGTTAAATTGCATTTTAAGTGTACTAGGCAAGCTTTCTATTTAAAGGAATCCTTTGATGGACCCTTTTGTAATGTGAAAAATTAATTCCAAATGTATCTGTTTTACAGTTCCAATCTCTGGATCTCTGGTTTTCTTCTCCTGGACAGCTAACTAGGTCGTAACTTTCTATTCTCAGAGCCCAGCCCCACACAAACACTAATTGGTTTTCGCATCTGAAAGGTTGTGTATCACTCTGTCATTTCTAAATTTACATGATGTAATCCATGTACAAGATGGGAGAAATTTCATACCCTGTGGGAGGAGCAAGTGCCACATGCTTAGTTTTCCAAATATATCTAGAGACACAAAATATTTTAAAAGACACAGAACTTCAGGACCGCCTTCCTCAATCTCAGATTTCATCAATTTGTGGCTTCAACAGGAATTAGTGAATTTCTATTAGCTGTGGAGAAAATATCTGACACAATGTCCAATCTTGGCATTTATTTTATGAAGGAAAATAATAATAATTAAGAACAAAGATGCAAACAAATTACCCCCAAGTCCCCCATCATGTCAAGCATTACAAAACTACAGACTGTAAACCTCATAATCAAAATTGAAAAATAAATGCCCATTTTTAAGACCTTGTTGAAGGCTCTGAGGTCCAGAATTGAGAATATACATCAGTCACGACTACAGGTCAAATATCTCACCTGTTTGTTAAAAGCATGATGCCAGGCTAAAAATTACACCATGTGTGATTTTAATGAGTTAATTAGGCTGCCTTTCAGACCAGAGGTTCCTAGTGCTTTGCAAGGACTTTTGGGAGAGACCACATAGGTAGCCAGCTTTCAAATGGTCTCCTCTGGACACAGCTGCTGTTTCACCTTTGTTCTCACTTTCCTCTTCCCTTTATCCCCTCAGTTGCAGCCCCTTCCCACAGGTGACTGGCAGGTTAATACTGTAGCATTCTCTTCTAGCATGCTTCTCATACTTGGATGTATATCTTGTAGTACACAGCTACACAGCCTGGGAGCTCAGCGGCTCTCCTGATTGGGAGAGTTGGAGGAGGAGGGCATACAGCTTCCCTGGCCTTCAAGAATCCATAGAGGTACACACTACTCATAAAACTGCCTGAATGCAGAGGGAAAACCCATCAGGTTTTTTGAAATGCTTCCTATGATAGTCTCATAAGGTTTTTATATACTCCTCATCCTTAATGACTGTTATGGAGCTCCTATAAGTGTTTTTCTATCTACTACTTTCAAGTTTCTCTTAACAACATAGTATACCCTGAGTATTTGCTGTGAGAGTGCATTGAAGGTCAGTTTTCTAGTTGTATCATCTCTCCAGCAAGCTCAATCTTTGCTTGAAATCAACTCCAGAAATAGGTAAAGCATTTAACTAAGCTGCAAGATGCACCAATATAGGAATTATGTCTATTTATTTATAACTATATCTCTAGTATCTAGCAGTATGACTGGCTATAATTAAATGCAATTAGATATTTGTTTCACAGATAAGGAATTGGATACACTGGCTCATATATCATAATTATTATTAGTTTGGAGCATAATCAGTGAATAAGCTTTCATGATTTTCTCCAGTCTTTCCATTTAAATGGCTATCACTATTGAGCATTTCTGCTTGCTGGGCACTATTTTAAACATTTTGAATAGTCATCTAAGTAAGTCTTAGGAAGTAGGTACTTCAATTTTTATAGGTGAGAAAACTGAGGCTCAGAAAAGGTAAGTAACTTCCCTAAATTTGTGGAGGCAGAGCTGAAGTTCTCACCCAGGACTCTCCTATGCTTTCCGAATTTGCTGGCATGGAAGGTGGCACTTTTCAGAAGCTTCATACATTTTGCCAATACTTGTATTTGCTGGACTTCTTCCAGTTTCTTCTGGAAGTCGGTCAGGGAAAGAATTCAGCTACTTCTTCCAAGCCTGCCTTTTCAGCTTGTATATACGAAGGACAGAGCAAGTGAGACCAGAGAACAATGGGATCTAAAAGCCAAAGAGCCCAAGGATATAGGAAGAGATGGACTAACTCCAGCAGGCTGAGTTTAACAGCCTGGAGACCGTGGCTCTCAATATTGGTAACACATTAGAGTAATCTGGGGAACTTTTATACATACCAGTGCCCAGGACTAGTTAAGCCAAAATCCATGCGGGTAGCATGCAGACATCAGAATCTTTTGAAGTTTTGAAGTTTTGATCTTTTGAAGGATGAGGAGTATATAAAAACCTTATGAGACTATCATAGGAAACATTTCAAAAACCTGATGGGTTTTCCCTCTGCATTCAGGCAGTTTTATGAGTAGTGTGTACCTCTATGGATTCTTGAAGGCCAGGGAAGCTGTATGCCCTCCTCCTCCAACTCTTCCAATCAGGAGAGCCGCTGAGCTCCCAGGCTGTGTAGCTGTGTACTGCGAGATATGTGACTGACCCACATTGTCGGGACTTGTATCCTTTGCTTGGGTCTGTTGGCATCTTTCAATCACTCACTCACTCCTGTAACAGTACTCCCTCTCCCAGTAACAGTCCTGATAATTGGTATTATTATTTGTATTTTACATCTAGACTTGAGTAACTGGCCCAAAGTCATTGAGCTGGAAAATAGCAAAAGCAAGGTTGAACCTCAGATCTGTCTGACTTCACAGTTCATCCTCTTAACCTCTGCCTCAAGAGGGCAAACCATGGGCCTGTCAGGTTTGTCAGGGAAAGTCAAAATCTTACTGTTCAGAGAATTAATTTTGAAACTCCAAGTAAAGAATGAGAAGAGCAGATGGAACTAGAAGACAATGCTGTGACTGAACCTAATCTAATCTTGGCCTATAGGCCCCTTGTGAAATTACATGAGACTGGAATCCAATAAAGAACTGTGTCCAGTTTGCTTGGTTATCAATCAAACTTGCTGTTACTTAATTCATGACATTCTGTAGATTAAAGGTTTCATGATTCAGATTCCCATCTCTTCATAGTTACAACTGCAACTCTTCTGTCAGATCAGGAATATAATTATGACAGCTAAAACGGCAGCAGTAGCGATTTGTAGATGGTATAAGATCCTTGTTAACTCTAGATAATCTTTCTCCACACTCAAGATAACAATTTTTACTCTGATTGTAGAGTGTGTGAGTGTGCATGCCTATATAACTGTGTGAATGCACACATGTAAGGCTCATGTGCAAATACTCTGGAACTCATGTGACATGGCAGAGATTTTAAGCCACTCTTTCCTGATTTTCCACGGGTTTGCAGTACATACTTCTAGGGTAGCCACTGAGGTCACAGAAACCGCCTTTTCTGCTTGCCATCCAGAAGAGGCCCTTGGCGGCTATGTTTATATTAATGAAGCTTTTAAGGAGGTGGTTAAGGTTAAATGAGATCAGAAAACTGAAGCCTGATTTGATAAAATGGGTGCCCTTATAAAGAGACAAAAAGATGCCAGAGCTCTCTGCTGTGATAGGGTTCAGTGAGAAGGTAGCCAGCTGTAAACCAGAAAATGGCCAACTGTAATCCCGCCAGAACCCGGCCATGCTTCCACACAACCCCAGGACTTCCAGCCTCCACTGTGAAAGTGTAAATTTTTTTTTGGTAATCCATCCAGTCTATGGTATTTTGTTATAGCAGCCTGAGCTGACTAATACACCTATTCTGGATATGCACATAAACAGGGTCATGCAATATGTGACCTTTTTGCCTGGCTGCTTTCAATTTTCATGTTTTCAGGGTTCATTTGTGTTATAGCATGTATCATACCAGTGCACCATTCCTTTTTATGTCTGAATAATATTCTATTGTATAGCTATCACATCTTTTTATCTATTAATCTGCTGATGGATATTTGGGCAGTTTGTACCTTTTGGCTATTGTGAATAGTGCTGCTATAAACATTTGGGTACAAGTGTTTGAGTGCCTGTTTTCAATTCTTTTGGAACTACTGGGTCATATGGTAATTCTCGAACACTGCACTTATGGTGCTCAGATCTGCCAGGCTGTTTCTTGGTTCCCACACAAGGAATTCTTCCTTAGATTCCACAGGATAACCCCAGAATACTCTCAATAAATTTTTTGTTGTTGCTGTACCTAGACAATTCTTGCTTAAATGAGTTAGTTGCTATTATTTGAAAGTTAAATAACCTAAACCAATAAATAATAAAATTTCTAATTTTTGGTCATGATAAGGAAAATGGACTCAGAACTCCTCTTTCAACGTTTGTGACAGCAGCAGTAAATCCCCTGTTGATGCTAATCAAATGGAGTGATGACCTTGATGAGACTCTGGAATCTGATTTCACTGAGGGATTGTTGCATAGACTACCACTTACCTTTGAGACCAGGGAGCACTAGACCTTGCATTTAGCGCATATTCCAATTCAAAGCGACTCCGTAAAGCTGCCACGTGGCTCCGGCCAGGCCCTCCCCGGCTCACCAGGCAGTCGGAGGAAGAGGAAGGCGAGAGAGACCCGCTGCTGTTACTTGATGCAGGAGACATCAGCTGAGTGAAGGAAGGGCAGTTTCAACCATCTCATAAATCCAACAGGCTTAAGGGTATGGAATAGAATACGGACTTATTTTGACTCTCCAGTCAAGAACTTCTCATAGTTTAATTTCAATTCATCTCAACTTTGCTCCTGGCTTTTCTTTTCGACCTTTGATAACAACACCTGGAGAGTTTAATTTACTTTTTTGACCCAGTTCTATGCTAAATTTATGCTTGTCTTTCAAAAAACACAGTAGGCTCAAATCAGATTTAAAAAATAGATGTTTAGAAGGTTATTATTTAATGGTAAAAGAATCTCTACATTTTGCACTAGGGCGATAAGATTAATGGCAGAGTTCCTTTAAATGGTAGCTTAAAATCATTTCCTTTACATGAAAATATTGCCTTTACATAAAATGGATTTATACACTTTTCCAAGAATATATCCATTTTTAAAATGAAGGATACTTTAACATCTGACAAGTATGAGGACTAAATAGGGTTGTGAAAGAATATTTAAAAATTGCTACAAATAGTTAAGTATAGCTAGAAAGTAGAAAAGTGTAAGGGAAGAAAATGAGAAAGGGAGAGAAAAACAGGAGAGTTTTCTTGGATTTTTGACAACCTTGCTGTTTATGTACTCTACCTAACCAAACTGAGAACAATAGTTCTTTTGACATTATAATTTCATAAGACATGTAGACCGTAGACTTTGGCTTAAAAAATATGTAAATTCTGCTCTTAATAATAGCCAATATATTCCTAAGTAAAGCTCTGAGATTCATGTGATGTCAGTGTTGAAACAAACCTTCATGCTCTTTAATGAACCTCCAAACACTTCTGCATATCCTTTTCAAGTCATCTATGCAGGTTGGTGGGGAACCTCCAGTGACGGGGAGCTCCCTGCTTCCAGATCTGTTCATTTACCTTAGGGCAGCTCTGACCACTAGAAAGGGCTTCCTCGTAATAAACCAAATCTATTGCTGCACTTAATTTCCATCTGGTGGCACACAGAGAATGAGGCCAATCCCTCTACCATATGGTAGTTCTTCAGATGTTTAAGAACAGCTGTTGGACTCATCCTAATTTTCTCTTCTCTAGGACAAGAATTTCTGGTTATCTCTGATTGGTTCTCACATACACGATGTTCAATTCACTCATCATTCTGATTTCTCCTCCCTAAAATCTATATACTATTGTGTCTGGCCATCTCAGAACAAAGAGGAATGATCACATCCTTTATTCTAAGACAAAGGATTCTAAGATAAGTGGTAAGTTAGTATGTCATATTCTAACTCCTAAAGAGTTTATTATCCATTAACATTCATGATGCTTTTAAATGACATCTTCCACATTTGATATTTTTACTATTGTTTCTTTGTGGTGAATGATTTATGTTTATTCCCATTAAATGTATTCTTGCTGGACATATACTATTACTTTATTCTCCAAGATATTCTAGAATCCTGGTTTGAAATATTTTCTGTCTCTCTCAACTTTTTTATATCTACAAATATTATAGTTTGACCATCTTGACTTTGGTCTAAACCACTGACCCACTGACTGAGAAGTTGAAGAGTAGAGAGGATGGGACCTTATGGAACTCCACAAGTCATGCCCTGAAAGCTGATTCTGGCCCATTAATGAGTGTAACCCAGCACAGCAATTGTTCTTTGCATATAGCCCATATTATTCATCTTCTCCACCAGCAGAGATTGTGCTGAGAGGTTTGGTTAATGTAACAAGACAAGCTAGTCAAGCTAGTTCAGCAGATTCCACTATTGTTCCTGTTTCTAGAATGCACTCTCATATCTAATTGGATTTATCACCCAGGTTGGAGCAATCCATGCCTTCAAGCAGAAAGTTTCAAAGTGAGAAGATACTTAGAATTCAAGCCTTAAAGGCATCTCTCAACATCCCCAAGGACTCTAGCAGCTGCTTTTGTTGCTGAGGCCCCACTAAATATAATATAACTTTTCTTCATTTGTATGTTTCAGGAATGAAGAAAAGGAAAAGGAAGTTTTATGTCTAAAAACCGAAGTTTTCTTCTACATAAAAGACTTCCTTTTTAGACGTTCCAGTAAAGAGTCATGAGACAGAGCCACTCACTGCAAACTACAATTGTAGACCTGGAAACCTTTTCCTATAGACTAGGTTCCAGTGACACTTTGTTGAGATTTTTTTAAGGGAAGAAAACTTTCTTTGGATGGTTCTAGTTTGGGATTTAGTTGTGCAATTTCAGGTTGATGCTGTTCCCTCCCCTCCTTTTTTTTCCATTCCCTTCATATGCATGAGTACAGTGAGCCTATATGTGTGGTGTCCTGGAGCACTCATTTGCACTTGGGAATGTATTATTATTTTTGAATTAGTGCTCATGTTTTAGTTCCCTTGCCTATTTAAAAATACTATCTCCTGACCAGGTGTATAGAAAATTAAAGCAATTATAGAGAAAATTAAAGCAAACAGCTCCTTGAAATTAAGGGAATAAAATTCCATTAGCCTGATTACCAGCATATATCACTTTGTGCAGCATATGTGTGGTATAAAAGCAATGCCTCCCAATTAATTTATACATTAATTTTAGTGATAATTTTTCCTTTTCTTATTGAACATCAATGGACAGTCGCTTAATAGTTTAACTTACGTATTACTGTATGTAGGAAATTTTGTACAGAAAAAAATTGATTTAAATAATTACCTTCTGACATTTATTATATTTTCAAATTTTCACATATTGATTTTTTTAAAACTGCTGTGCCTGTGTCCATTTGTCTACCTGATTATCTGTTGGAAGAGCCCACATTCCCTCTGAATTTGCCTTTTCCCTTATAGATACAGTCAGTTCTGCTCCACTTGAGCTTCATGAATAAGGTAAAAATGTGAATGGAGTTAATGCTCAGACTACTTTCTTCCCCTTAAGCACCATCTTACGAACATTCCTCAACATCGGTTATTCAAGGCATTTTTATGGACATAATTCAGAAGCTAATGTTCTTACCTCGATGTTGCAGAGGCATTCTTCTAACTTGGTAACAACTTCTGAAAATTCAGGCCTTCCCTGTAAATAAAGAAAATACTTTTTTTCCCTCAAAGAATAAAAGGAAGGCAACTCTCCTTGGATTTTAAAATTGGGTATTTGCATTTATAAAGAATGAGATTAACAGTAAAGTATATTTTTATTTAAAATGCACTTGCATTGAAGTTTTAATTGAATGTTCATTTGCTGTTCAGGGAGGGATGTTGAGTTTTCCTCTGATAAGAGTTTTAAGTCAGAATTTGCAACTACATTCAGATAATAAAATAGTGAAAAGTTTTAATTAGCTTTGCATGTTTTTAAATGGCAAGTTTTCCTCTTCAAAATGAAAGAATGAAAGTGAATACTAAAAACTGTTAACTATCTCAGTGCCTTACAATATACTGTACAATATGTCTGTAGAAAAAGCACTGTTAAAGCTAATTTTATAATTAGCTTCACTTTTGAAAATACCATCTCAAATTCAAAATTAAGATAATTAGAAACCTCATGACTATGTCCTATTTTAGGGGCTAAGATAAGCTGTTTATCTTCAAAAACTGCCATTAAAGATATTGCCCATTATGAACCTCTGTGCCATATGAGCTTGTTAAACAAATATTTATTGCAATCTGATTATGTTCCAAGTTTTGTTCTAGTTGCTAAGGATATGAAAATGATTATGGATGAATGGAAAAATTCTTAGAATTTCAGAAAATGTTCTGAAGAACTTACACGCCTCCTTCTATCAGAATCTAAGGACAGCATAACCTATCATTTCTCCCTTTATGAAACGTTCAGTGCCAGGAGGAGGATAGCCAGTTTACCATTCAGGTGCAGTAACCAACTAATTTAGATTCTTAGTAGAACAATTTCTCTCTTAATATCTAGCTCTTCCCTGAGGACCTGGCTTTTCCCAGAGCGCTCTCAAGTGGAAGCTGGTTTTTCTCACCTTTTTTTTGTACCTTAGGTTGATAGGCTGGTGGTGCGGTGAGTAGGAGGTCTGTGTCTTCCTTACTGTCAAAATGGTTTCTCCTCTAAAAACCACCAGCTTATCAGCTATTTCACTGAGTCACAGTCTTATTCTTTGAAGATTTTAGCTGTCTGGCTCACTGTCCAGCTAGTCTTAGTACTTTTACTACAGTGGCCTGACCTCTGGGTTCCTTCATCTCTTCTCAGTGATCTTATCCTGCACCTTCCCTCCGTCACTTAGCTCCTTGGTTATCCCCTTCACCCTGTTACTAACAACTCCTGCAACCCCTTCATGCTCTGTCCATTTCCGTCAGATCACTGTCTGGCCTCTGTCTCCTTTCTTTCTAGCTCAGTTCTTTTGGAACTTGGACTCCAACAGTCTTTGACCACAAAAACCTTATGACTTAAAAAACAACATTTGTTGTGAGCATTTTCAAATATACCCTAAAGTAGAGGAGAATAATAAAATAAATCCCCACCTATATAGGACTAAGCCTTAAAAACCATGTTTTTGCTAATATTTGCTATTTACCTATCATCCATTTATCATCTAATCTATCTCCCGTATTTTTTGTTCATCTAACCATCATTTCACTCTCATTTACTCACCTCATTTCCTCCCTTACTTATTTTAGGTTTTATTGGCAATCATAATCACTCCCACACAGCTTCAATTCCCTTGCCCTATCATGTGTTTTTGTACCCTATTAGAAAAATTCAAATTTTGATTAAATCCATTTTGACTGGTCTTAATTCAAAATCATTACCCTTTAACCTGAGATTCTTTGTACTGCCTAAAGAGCATATGATATATTTCTAGCTCAATCTTTCACACTCCAGATTGGCTATTTGGTACCTTGTCCCCTTTCCTCAAATCTCTAGTTCTACATTGACCACCCATCTGTCTAAATCCACATAATGTCTTCACCCCCAATTCTATAGATGAACTTTGCCCGATTCTATCTGAGGCCAATTCCTTCACTGTGTACTAGATCTTATCCCTGTTAATCCACTCAGTGATATTTCTCTGTTTCTCTAACAATAATTCTCCCTTCTATTTTTTGCATCATCAGTGCTCCCTTTCTCTTGTTTAATCCCATCAACATATACGCATACTATAAATTCTCCCATCTTAAAAACAAACAACAAAATAAAACTCTCGACTCTACTTCCTCAAGCTGCTATTCCATTTCTCTGTTTACCAAAATTGCTCTAAAGAATTGCCTAAATTTGAGGTCTTTTATTCTCCTTCCATTTGTTTCTCACCCCACTCAGGCTTTTCCCTAGAAGATTCTACTAAAACTACTCTTGTCAAGGATACAGAGACCTACCTCCTCTTTGCTAAATTCAAAGGTGAAGCCTCAATGGTCATCTTACTTGGCATAGTATTAAATACAAATAATCATTCTTTTGTCCCTAAAATATTCTTCAATTGGATTTGAGGTCACTACTTTCTCATTATTTTTCTCCTCTCTCAGTTGCTATTTCTCAGTCTCCTCTTTTAGTTTCACTTCTGTGTATCTTTAAATATTGTGTTGTACCAGGACTCAGTCTTTGGATCTCTTCTCTTCTGTATTTAGAGTTAATTTTTTTTGAGGATTTAATTTAGTATCATAGCTTTAAAAAACAACTCCCAAATGTCTATATCTAGTTTTCCTCAGTACTTTCCCTTGAACTCTAAACTAACATGTGCAATTTCGTGTATTTATAGTCTTCCCTACTTTGCAGTAAACGGCAGCTCCATCCCTTCACTTGCAGAGGCAAAATCCAAGGGATAAACTCTGACTTCCCTCTTTGTCATACTCTTGTTGCTAATCCACTAGCAAATCACATGCATTCTGCCTACAAAATGTGTCCAGAATCTGAACATACAAGTAGCTTTTATATTGGATCAATCCTCCCCCAAATAACAACAGTAAACTCTGGGCAAAATGTGAAAGACAGCTACCCAAAGGCAGGAGAATCAACAAAAGCAGGTAGATTCTGGAGGACAGTCACTTGGAAGAAAGGAAGGGCATGGGATATGTTTCCCAACTCTTCATTTTTCACTGCATTTACCCTGAAGACAGGCTCCATCTGCATTTTGGAGAGTAATTAACAATCTGATGGAAGGCCTGCAGGTTTGCTTGCTTGAAGAACTAGAGGATGGAATTCGGGGCAACCAAATGTATTAGCTAAGGGTTCATAAGAAATTACCCCAAATTTAGTAGTTTCAAAAAACAACCATTTATTATCTTCCAGTTTCCATGGGTCGGGAGTCTAGTGCTGATTAACTGGGCCCTTTGCTCAGGGTCTCACCAGACTAAGATCAGGTGTCAGTTTGTGCTGTGTTTCTCATCTGAGGCTCAGGGGACTCTTCCAGGTTCAGTGATAGTTCGAAGAATTCATTTCCTTCTGGTTTTATGATTCAGGTTCCCATTTTCTTGCCAACTGTTGTTTAGGGATGATGCTCAGTTTCTAGACAATGCCCATGGTTACTTCCAACATGGCCCATATAAGCAGTTAATGATATGGCCAGCTTTTGTTTCTCTAACTAACTGAAGAAAAATTCTCTGCTTTTAAAGGGGTCATCTGGTTAGGTCAGTCTTACCCAGGATAATCTTTGTGCTATATGAGGAAACAAATTATGGGAATAATATATTGTCATATTCATAAGTTCTTCCCACACTTAATAGGAGAGGATTATCCTTGGCATGTACACTATGGGCCAGGAAACTTAGGCACCATCCTAGAATCCTACTTATTATACATAAGCACTAGAAAGTGAGGAGATATCTGGAAGAAGAGAGTCTGAAAGAGGGAGTCCCAGAATCTGCATATAAACTGCCTAATCTCTGGCTGACCTCTGAACCACATATGCATGGAGCAGTCTCTAAGCAGACCAGGTAGGCTAAAAGAACTGAGCTGAGATTAAATCTTTTGCCTAATACTGGGCATTTGTCTTACTATTTTCTCAGATGGAAGTATTTAACTTTTATCCTCTGCCTGACGCAATCCTCTGTCCTAAGCAATGCTCCACCCTCTTCATGCCCAGCTCACAAGATACATCCTTATTGAAGTGTCCAAGTGATTCCACAAGATACTTTTTGACCTTATTTAGACTTTCTTAATTCTTCCTTGTGTTATAACTAGATATTTACATGGCTATATACCTAGCTAGAAAATGCTTTGAAGGTAAGCAATGGTTTATTTACTGCTGAATACCTAGCATGTTCCATTGCATAGGATAGCTTAGTTGAGTTCAATTGCATCACAGCTGCATCACACAAGTACATTAAATTGCGTCATGATAATAAAAATTATTGTTTTGTCCACGATGATAAAAAATTATCCTCTCATTATTATCTGAACCACCACCAGCGTCTCTTGTTTGTATTATTATAATTGCTTTCTAACTACTTTTGCTGCACCTGTTCTATGCCTATTAAAAGTATGTTGCCCTTGTTTGTTATGCTTCAGAAGATTGGAGACTGTTGAGAACTAGGCTTGGGGTTGATTAATGATTGTGCATTGAGTCCCTTATACAGAATTTTATTGTTGTTAACAACCATTTGATAAATAAATATGAGAGATGCCCTCTCAAAAAAAAAAGTATGTTCCCAACATTGTAGCCTCCCCACAGCTGATATCATATTCAACAGTGAAAAGCTAAAAGCTTTTCCTTTAAGATTAGGAACAAGATAAGATGCTTATTCTTGCTTCTTTTATTCAGTATAGTACTGGAAGTCCTAGCCAAAGTAATCAGGCAAGAAAAAGAAATAAAAGCATCCAAATTGGAAATGAAGATGTAAAACTGTCATTATTGTCAGATAACATGATATTTTATGTAGAAAACCCTATTTTCTTAGAACTAATGAACTGATTTGGTAAAGTTACAGGATACAAAAATCAATATATAAAAATCTGTTGCATTTCTATGCATTAATAACAAACTGACAGAAAGAGAAATGAAAAAAATCCCATTTACCATTGCATCAAAGAATAAAATACCTATGAATAAACTTAACCAAGGACGTAAAGGACCTGTACGCTGAAAACTGTAAGACGTTGAACTAAGAAGTTGAAGAAGATGCAAATAAATGGAAAGATATTCTATGCTTATGGATTGGTTAATATTAAAATTTCCATGCTACCCACAGCAATCTATAGATTAATGTAATCTCTATCAAAATTCCAATGGCATTTCTCACAGAAATACAATAAATAATCCTAAAATTTGTGTGGAACCACAAAAGACCCTGAATAGCCAAAGCAACCTTGAAAGAAAAGAACAAAGCTGGAGGCATCCATTCTTTGATTTCAAGCTATACTAACAAAGCTATAGTAACCAACATGGTAGCCAAAAATAATCATTTAAAAATGTATTACAGATCAAGTAATTCCTCTCACAAAAGCCTCCAATTACTCTCATCTTATTTGTATAAAAAAACCAAAGCTCTTGAACTCATCTGTAAGGCATGCACAGCCTGCTCCTACTTTCTGACCTCTTCCTTCTGTGTATTTGGCCATGCTGACCTCCCCAGGCTGAGCACATCATGATCTCAGGGACTTGGCATTTGCCATTCTATCTACTTGGACTGACCAGTGCCTTTACTTTCTCCAGGTGTCTGACTAATGTTACTTTATCGGAGAGTTTTTCCTTGTCTACCCTATTTAGAGCCCCCAAGATAATGCTACCTAATCCCTTTCTTGCTTTATTTACTCAGTAGCACCTATCACCAGCTGACTTAATACATATTTTCATGTTTATTTGGTTATTGTTTACATCCCTTCATAAAGAGTCTATCGCATGAGGGCAGGGTTTATTGTTGTCCACAACTCTATGCCCAGTGGCTTGAGCAGTGCATGGCCTATAAAACGTGTTCAATAAATACTTGTTGAACAAATGGTAGAATTAATGATTTTATGTTTTATTTACATTTTATTTCATTCTCAAACTATTTTATTATATTGATAGGGGTTTTTATTATAATTTGTTTCAAGTCTTTTTTTAAATTAATCAATCTGGGAATACATTATAAATGAATGACCTTTTTTGAACATTAAATCTAAATGGTATTAATATTTCACTGGAGGGCTGGAAAAACATCAAAATAATGATAAAATTTAACATTTACTAAACACTTAAGCATTTCATTTGACCTTTACAATATTCTTCAATATAGGCATTTATAATTATTTCTATTTTAAATGAAAAGGCAAAAATAAGAAAATGTAATAATTAATCTAAGATAATATAGTCAGTAAATAGCAGAGCTGAATTCAAAGTTAGGTAGAGCTTGTGATCTTAATACTCCTTCATACTCTTTCTCTATGTGTCGCATCTAAATCCACAAGGAATAATTCGGTTGAAATTATGTAAGATTCAGTGCTTAAAATTAGAAGCTGCATAGTAGAAAGAACACTGGACTGCCTTAAAAGACTTGAGGTTGAATACTTAGTAGCCATGTGACTCTGTATAGTTTATTAACCACTCTGAGCTTCAGTTTTCTCAGCCTCAAACCAAGTTGCAGAATTAGAATCAAATAAGATAATGTATGTGCAAAAGATCAATAAACTGTAAGATTTTTACAAAGTAACTTAGTGTTTTAATAATCTATATTAATGGGTGTGCCCTGAATGTGAGCTCTCTAATTTACAGTTAAATGCTTTAACAGTTCGGGTTAAAGTCTATACATGTTAAGGATTCTAGCCATTCATCTGACACATTGTGAGAACCCAAGGTGTTCATTAAAAAGCAGAAATCCCCCAAATGCCTCATGAGCTGAATACCCTGAAATCATGCATAGTAAGTGCCACCAGTATGCTGTGCATTGCCTTCTGCTTGCCTTTCAGGTGGATGGCTCATGCTCTTCACCGTCATGCTGCGGTTGGTGGCAGCGTGTCCTGCATCGTGTGCAGTGTGTGCTGAAGATGCAACCCTTTGTCAACAGCTCACCTATATAATAGGTAATAAAGCCAATAATGCTAAAAAGCGGTGTTCAGTGTACCTGGCAAATGTGTTGCCTTGCCTTTCATTGTACTGACTGTTCTCTGGGCTCAGCCTGAAAGAGGTATACTTTTAAAGAGCAAGCCTTTCCTAGTGACTAAAGACTGTTAACATTGTTTTAGTTTCCTGTTCCTGATGGTCTCGGCCAAAACTATTTTAAAACCTTCAGAGGTAGTTGAGATATTTTGCTATTATAAAGGAATACCACCGCTTTATGCAGCTACACACTTCTTTATATAAAATAAAAAATAGATCATTTTAATTATATTTTTGTTCACAACTTGCGCAGATTTGAACCCTATCACTGGCTGGAAGAAATATCAATGAATCAGAAACCTGAACTGCAATTGTTCAGCATTAGTAAGATTAAGTGATGTACCAGCAAAACAGATTATTATCAAAGTGCATCTAATTTTGGAAGTCTAGTCTTTTTTTATTGGTGGTAAATGAGCTGTAGAAATGCTAACAAGATACACCGCCTGTATTCATTACATATTGCTTGCTTAAGTCAACAATTTAATAAGACACCTTATTAACAAATTTGAGGAGAATGTGATTTACATCCTGATATCCAAGAAGAAAATATAAACAAGCTATAAGCTCCACCAATGGAAAATTTTTAGAAACAAGTCTAAGTTAAGATGGAGTATGGGAAGGTGATTTCTTTCATTTCTAAAATCCTACGACTCTCTGAGAATTAAGAAGTAGATGTTCTTGTCATCTCTGATAGGAAAGAGAGTTTCAAGACTAAGTGGTTGTACACTGTTTCCAACCAGTACTGAAAGCAATGCCCTCCCAAATGGATTTCCGGACTTTACTACATTTTGTTTTCTAATCAGAGATAGCTGATATCTGTAAGAAACAAGTATTGCTTGCCTACGTCCTGTACCTCTATAACTTCCTTCTCATTTACAGAATACCACATTTGTGTAGTTGCAGTTCATAAACACAGAGAAGTAAATGGATGACTTGTGAGTGGAGCTTCTTTCTAGTACTAGATGAGAAGTAATTGGCAGCTACAGTAGCCTGCTCCCTCAGTCAACAAATCTCTAGAGGACTGTCAATCCATAAAAACAAAACTCCCTCAACCTACTATATCAAAACCAATGATGAGAGGAACAGAATGCCAAACTGGCCAGAATTAATAAAATTCAAATAATCAGTAATAAATACTGAAAATTCAAATAATCAGTAATAAATACTGAAAAAAAATTACCATGACTTAAGCTTGCTTGTGCTGCAGAGACTGAAGTAATTCTTCCAAAAGAAGGCACTGTGAAAATTCTTTGTATTTTACATTTTTTTAATCTCTTTGTTTCAGTGATGTAGTCTGAATTTCATGAGGGAATTGTGATTTGCTTCCCCCACGGTTGATTGTTCTAATATCACCTGCAGACCTCCCAGGGACAATGGACTCTTCCATCCTTATGACACTGTCATTTGCAGTCAAAACAATTTTAGCATGATAAAGATGTGTTACAATAACTCCTGATTATAATACATCTTCATTGAGTTAAAATGCTTTGATTTCTAATGACAGAGCAGTGACAGCTCTGAGGTGATGATGGGGAAGGGATTTAACAGTTGGAAACCCTGAGTACCACCTGTCATCACATGATGGATCTCATTGGAGGGGACAGATATCAGAGAGGAGGCCAAGATGGCCCAGACTATAATGAGAACCCCACTGACAGATTCTCGGGCTGTCTGGAGAGAATATAGATCCTTACCAAGTTGCCAGTTTTTAGCCTGGAGCTAAAAAACAGAAACCAACCCTCCTTCTCACTTCCCGCTCCCCAACCCACCTCTTTATGTTTGAGAGAAAAAAATGACTGACTTCACAGCATAAATATACATTGCTAGTGGAACACTGGTTAGGAGGCTTAGACACAGGCTTGGCTCTTGGGTGAATCTGTTTTGTGCCAGCAGGGCTAGACAGGTCAGTACACAGCCTCACACACAGGCAGTCTGAAAAGCCACCTTCGAAATAACATCAACAATGGTAATCCCAAACAATGAATTAAGTTTGAATCTAAAGGAACAGATGGGTTTATGTTTTTCAATAAACATGTCATAGTAACAAAGAAGATAAAAATCCATCATTCTGATAAAGAGCCAGCTTCCTCTTAAACTGAGAAGTCAGAGAATCATTTTCACTTTGTTTATTGTTCCTATCCAGGTGATAAGATTGCTCAGAGGGTATTGATTATCTTTGCTCTCCCCTGTACTCCCCTCGTATCTTGTTTCTAGTCTGTGCTTCTCTTCCCACAGCAGCCCCTGTGACCACGAGGGTTTTGATAATTACTGATGGATACCTCTCCTCTATAGAGAGCACAAATCTGTCTCTCTTGTTTAATTTGGCCCTGCTCTCCTTGAGCAGAAACGGCATCCAGGATGTTCGGGAAGATGCCCTTCATGGTCTTTTCCAGTTGCGTACGTTGCTGCTGGAGCACAACCAAATATCCAGCGCCACGCTCACCGACCACACCTTCAGCGAGCTTCGCAGTCTGCAGGTGCTCGTGCTGAGCCACAATGCCCTCCGCACGCTGCGGGGGTCCTGGTTCCGAAACACCAGGGGCCTGACCCGTCTCCAGCTGGACGGCAATCAGATAACTAGTCTGACAGACAGTTCTTTTGCGGACACAAATCTCCACAGTCTCAGACATCTGGATTTATCTAACAATTTTATTTCCTATGTTGGAAAAGATGCCTTCCGGCCCCTGCCTCAACTAGAGGAACTGGACCTTTCCCGAAACAGGCTGGCCCACATGCCAGATGTGTTTACTCCACTGAAGCAGTTAATCCTTCTGAGTTTAGATAAGAACCAGTGGAGCTGCACATGTGATCTTCACCCCCTCGCCCGATTTTTAAGAGAGTACATTAAGTCTTCTGCCCGCACGCTAAGGAACGCCCAGGACCTAAATTGTCAGCCGTCCACTACAGCTGTGGCCACAGCAAAGAATATGCTAAGGCTGTCTGAGACCAACTGCAATTCCAAGGCTCCCAACCTCACTCTGGTTCTAAAGGACAGAAGTCCCCTCCTCCCAAGGCAGGATGTGGCCCTGCTGACTGTCCTTGGCTTTGCAGGTACGCCAGTGAGAAGTGTGCCCATCTCTTCTCTATATTCTTGAAGTACATTAAATGATGTGTTTCTCAGGAATTGGAGAAATTTGCCAGGGCTTGTAGAAGGAAGTGGTTGTCAGTAGATGTGAGAGGATATTAGCTGACTGGCACAGATTCCAAGAATTTCCTGTTTCAGAAAAGCTAACACAGTGAAAAGGGCCTTGGAGATACAATGTCATGGCTAGTTTGCTTTTAGATTTGTTTTCTTGTGTGTCATGTGGGAATACTATCTATATTTAATCAATCATCCATTTGTTGAGGAGTACTGGTGCATTCATTAAGATAAGGATTAACAAAGTGATAAGACAGCATCCTTTTCTTCCAGGCACTCCCATCTGTGTCCCTCTCCAGAGCTTAGTAAGAATGGGTGAGCTTTAGCAAGTGCCCGAGGAGATACTACTAGATGATCACATGCATTCCTACTGGATAGTGGTTGCAGAGCACAGTGATTGAGTGCATGAGCTCTGTACTTAGAAGTTGGATTATGCGGGTTTGAATCCTGCTCTGCTTCTAACTTGCTGTGTGACTTTGGGCAAGTTGTTTAATCTCCTTATGCCTTGGTTTCCTCCTGTTTGAGGGTTTTGAATTCTTTTAAGGCTTCCAGTTGTCTACCTCTCCCACAGCTCCCCAAACTGACTAAGAAGAAGATAATATTCAACCCTTTATTTTTTCTAAGGTAGTTAAATATTTTTTAAAAGTATGCATCAGGTATCATGACATCTCAGTGGATGAATAATATAAAATGATGCTCAGTGTCATTAGTCAAAGAGCAAATATGCATGAGATTTTTAAGTTATCTACCTTGATGTCTGTTTTCTCCCTATGCATGCAATGCATGGTGAAATCCTTTGCACCTGTGGGTAACCATGGGGATGAGAAGTGTGTGTGTGTTTGTGTTTGTGTGTGTGTGTGTGTGTGTAGCCCCGGGGGGGTGGGGGTGCCCCAGAGCTGGAAGACCAGAGGTTTGCAAATGGCATTCAGGACTGGACTGATGTATTATGAATATGTGCTATTAATAATTATTCCATAGCAGGTTGCCAGTGAATTAATTGAACATCAGATTTCAAACTCCTAAGCTACCCTTTTAAATCAGGATAGATGGAGACCAGCATCAGGTCTAGAAAATGGAACTATCACCAGCAGTCATCAAATCCATCTGGAAGTGAATTCAAATCCCCTCAGAAAGAGAAATTATTTTAAAAACTGCTTAACCATGTCAGTAATTATATGTTCTAAGACATAATTTACCATAAAAGCAAAAGCAACAGGGCAGCAGAAAACTTTTCCTTAAATGTGCTTCTTAGAATACTAGCTCTAAGGTGTAATTAATAGATATTCCAATAAAAACACACACAGATGCACTTGTAAGCAATATGTTGAGAAGTTCAAATAGATTTGGGCAATGCTGGGTTAAACAAAGTGAGAATGGCTTCTTTACTGCAGCATTTCTCACTGGCTTTCATTTTCTAATAAGCATTATGAATATGGAAGAGGAAGATAAATGTGGAGCATTTCTCAAACTGACTTGACCATTTACCCTTTTATTTTGGCAGGTGATTTTGTTGAATTAGTGTTTTGTAGGCATCACTTTGGAAATATTACAAAAGAGTAATTTTCAGTGTCTTCTACATATCTTTTATATATATTTTCAGGAAAGATTTTGCTAATTTAACAACTATGCACTAGTGTAGAGATAGATACAAATTCTAAAAGATTCCAAAGGTTTGGTCAAAATTATAGAAACTTTGTGCATGGATAAATTCTCATAAATTACAAGTATGATTACATACATGTTAAGTTATAGTATCTGACATTATTGTAATACTGTATCTTTCATTGAGAAATTGTTAAAGATGCTGTTTTTAAAAGAACTTAGTCTTTTAAAAAAGCTTTGACTTTTGATATCAATTTATTCCATTAAGATTCTAGTCCTGAAGTAAAAATGTAGTTAACAGTCTATAATTGGGCCTCTGATGCCATTTCCTTCTTGGGCTATTGATAAATCATCACAATTCCAAAGAATATAAATAATCATATTCAGCAAATTTTAAACTAATAAGTGGTTATTTGGCACCAAACAGTAACATCTTGACACTTCCTATTCTGTGAACTGGTGGATGAAAAGAGAAAGCTTTCATGAAGCTGTAATGTTTCCAATACTTCAAGGAGAACTGACCATTTTTTTTTTCCCCCAGTTTTTATAACTCAGAAAGATTGTTAGACCACTTTTTAAAAATAGCAACAATGCCCATGGCAATGAAAATTCAACCATCTTCTTAATAGCACGGTCAGCCTGTCTGCAAGCTTCATTTGCTGCTTTTGCTCTCTGTGTTAATAGAAACTGACCATACCTGAGTGGTAATATAATACAGACAGTTCAGGAATCAACAGCAGGAGAGTGAGTGGTTTCTTGCTGCTTAGACACAATTAGAGGAGAAACTTTATCCTATAATCAGATTATGCCTACTCTCATTTGAATGGCTCATGCATGTGTTTAAGAATATTTAGGTCTTTCTTTCCTTTATTATTTGGTTTAGTAACTGCATTAGCCATACAAAGTGTTCTCTTAATAATTCGTTCCTTGGATTTTCTTTTTCCTGTCAATTGAGTCTTCTACCACCTAACTAGGGCAATATAAAGCCTACACAACAGCAGCAGCAATCATAACTATAAACCACAGTGACCACTCATGGAACCTTACTGTATCGAAGAACTGTGTTAAACTTGTCATATGTATATAATCTCATTTAATCTCTGAATGGTATTAATTATCCCCATTTGATGGAGGAAGACGAATAAGGCTCAGAGAAATTAGAAAACTTGACTGAGGAAAGTGTCAGAGACGAACTGCAAATCCTGAGTTTTCATACTCCATGTAAGAGGTACAGAATATTTCTAAAATTTTATAATTTTCATATATTTTTAGCATTTTAAAACCAAAATCCTTGTTTGGAATAACCCAAACTCTAGAATCTGACAATAAAAGCACTCTGATCTAATTTTTGTTACTATAAAAAATGTGTCTTTAATAGAGATTAAATTATTTCAATATGTCAAAGCACTCTCTAAGAGCATATTGTTGTCAAATAAATTAAAATGGGGCATATAAGACCTCAAGATATGGTAATACACAAGGGTGGAGGATTTTACAAGAAACTGCTATTCTTTTTGGTTTATCTTTATTTTTAACAGACAAAATGCAACAACCATGCCGGATGCCTTCCCTTTTCTTTCAAGTTAAAAAAATATCATCACATTTTCATTGAAGTTGTCAGTAGTAGATAGAACCAGGGGGCATGTTGCAATCAGATTCTAGAATGCTCAAACTATCTCATTCACTGTCCTCCTTTCCAGAGTCAGGGAACTGAGTTCTCTAGGGAAATCAACTTGCCCAAGGTCACACAACAAGCTATAGGCAGAGCTGGGCTTAGAACACAGCTCTTCACTGAATTAATCCTGAGGCCATGTCTTCCTGATCACCATTTTGGGGATTTGTAAGATTCCACCATGCAGAGACTTCCATTATCAGAATGTATAAACATAATTCTTTTGGTGTATTTAAGAATATACAATAAATACTTCTGGGGTGTCAGTGCCAGAGCTATGGGCCCTGGAGATACAATGTCAAAAAAGACTGAAAATGTCCATTTCTTCAAAGCACTTGATTTTAGCAGGGGAAGACAGTGAACAAGCAAGAGAATAATGGAACACAATAATTTTATTCTGTTTTAAGTGCTGAGAAAAAAGGAAATCACTGTGACAGAAAAGGAGTTGGGATGTAACTTAGAGAATTGGGTTTGAACAAATCTAGGAGGTGGTTTAAGATGCCATTTGTCAAGATGGGTAATGGTGGGGTAGAAACAGGTTAGACTCTGGCCTTGAGTCTGAGAAACACTGCCCTTTACAATTTTAGTCAGAGGATAAACTATATGTCTACCTAGAACATGAAATGACAGTACCAGGCAGTCTGAGAGTAGATGTCAATCATTTTATCGTGGGAGTTCGTAAAAGGGAATGATCTTTGCAAGATGGAAAAAACAGCAAAAGTACCAAGAAATTTAGAGGTATTGATTCAGATTTTAGTGTATAAGTAAAATTCAGATAAGCAGATAGAAGTGGTATAAGCACCACTAAGAGCACACACAAAGGCTCAGAAGTATATTTGAAGGCCAAGAGTTTGAAATGTAGTGTTTAAGTGTGGGAAATAATGAAAAATTAGGCTAGGAAGGGCAGTTATGGACAAATTGCATTGAGACTTAAATGCCAAGGAGTTTGGCCTTTATGCTAATAGGTAGTTAATGACATATTCTGAGGTAGGGTGTGAATCTTTAGGGATGATTAAAATATGGCAACAGCATGTAGAATAATTTCTTTCTTTTTTTGGGAAGAGGTTATGGAATGTGAGGATTTCAGGGTGTATACTACCTGTGGTCCATTTTTATTGACTATGGAATTGAGATATAGGAGAGTT